GGCCTTTGGCCTCCCCAACCCCCAGGTTTGGTGGTTGTGAGTAAAGCTGCTATAATGTCTGCAAAATTTATTGTGAACGTATGTTAATTCTATAGGGTGTGTACCTAAGAGTGGGATGGTTGGGTCAGTCATTTGTTAGCTATTCCCGAGGGGCTTTTTGTTTCGTATTTGCACCAGCTGTGTATGAGAGTTTTAGTTGCTCCAAATTGTTGTCAGTACGTGGTATTACTCATTTATTTCAGATGTTCTAATAGGCGTACTGTGTATTGGTTTCTCATCATGGCTTTAGTTTGTATTTCTCTGCTGGCTAATGGTGTTGAGGATCTTTTCATGTTCTTCTGTGCCATCTGTATATGTTCTTTAGTGAAATGGTTGTTCAAATCTTTGCTTGCTTTTGAAAAATTGTATTATTTTCTTATGAGTTTTTGAGGTTCTTTATATATTCTGGATACAGGTCCTTGGTCAGGTACGTGACTTAAAAAATATTTTCTCACAGCCTAGAGTTTTTCTTAATGGTGTCTTTTGCAGAGCAAAAGTTTTAAAGTTTTGATTAGGCTCAATTTACCCTTTTTTAACTTTTATAGACTACACTGTTGGAGTCCTGTCTATGAAATATTTTCCTAAACTCAAGTTCACAAAGATTTGCTCATGTTTTTTCTAAAAGTTTTGTAGTTAGCGATTTTATTTTTATATCTGAGATCTATTTTGAATTTTATAAAAGGTGTGAGGTACAGGTTGAGGTTTACTTTGTAAAGTACCCTTTGTTGAGAAGAGTATTGTTTCTCTATTGAACTGCTTTTGCACCTTTGTTACAGATCAGTTGGCCATGTTTTTATGGACCTGTATCTGGATTGTTATGTTCCGTTGATCTGTGTGTATCCTTTTGACAATACCGCAGTGTTTTGAATACTGACCTGGCTGTTCTGGCCCCATTTGACTTTCCTCTTTATCTATCCTTTTGCTTATTTATATCAGTATGGTAATCATAGATTGTTATTTTATTACTGTCATTTATTTTGTTGCTCAAATTGACCCAGATCTGGCTAGTGGGAGAAAGGTCCTATCATTCTTGGAACACTTTCTTACCTTCTGGCATAACAAGATGTTTCAGGGTCCTCTTAATACTTTTTAATTTTACTTTTTATTTATCTCAGAAGAAGGGAGGGAGGGAAGGAGGGAGAGAGAGAGAAAGAGAGAAAGAAACATTATGTGAAAGAGAAACATCGACTGGTTGCCTCCTACAATGTCTCCGACTGTGGATTGAACCTGCAACCTGGGTATGTGCCCTGACCGGGAATTGACAGTGTTCCCACCAACTGAACCACACTGGCCAGGGACCACTGTCCTCTTATACACTTCCTCTCCTAGCCCTGCAATCAACCATTTCTCCAAGGAGACCTAGTTTCTTTTATTTGTGAATGGTATTTAGAAACCAAGATCTGGGAGCTAGAGGTGCTCATTTGTTGCTGAATTGTCATCACATCAGCGCCCTCTTAGTAGGCAGAGCTGGGAAGTAAATGTGTGTATGTGTGCATGCACACGTGTACAGGCGTCCATATTTCTATTTCTGTTGAAAACTATGATTTCATTCAGTTACCATCGATTTCTCTTCAGCACCACAGAAGTTTTTCTAGCCTCCCTTTTTCTGTATTTGCAAGTCTTCACTCAGGATAATTGTTTTGAGATTCATTCAACTTGAATACTTAAATAGTTCATTCCTTTAAAAAAACGTTTTTTTAAAATCCTCACTTGAGGATATTTTTTCCATTGCTTTTCAGAGAGAGTGGAAGGGAGGGAGGGAAGAAGAGAGGGGGAGAGAGAGAGAGACAGACAGACAGACATTGATGTGAAAGAGACACATTTATTGGTTGCCTGCTGCACATGCCTAACCAGGGACAGGGAGTGAACCCCAAACCCAGGTACATGCCCTTGATCAGGAATTGAACCCGAGACCCTTTGGTGCACAGGCTGGCTCTCTAACAACTCAGGCACACTAACCAGGGCAGTTCATTCCTTTTTATTGCTGAGTTTAACTCCATTGAATGGATATACCACATTTTAGGAAATTGCCAGACTCCCTCCCACCAAGTGATAGTATCATTTTACATTCCCATCAGCAGCACATGAGAGTTCCAGTTCCACCACATTATCACCAAACCTTGGTATTGTCAGTCTTTTTAATTTTTAATTGCAATCCAAATGAAAATTGTAAAGGAATTTTAAATTTTTTTCTTTTAATTTATCTTTATTGTTGAGGGTATTACAGGTGTCCCATTTTTCCCCCTCAATTGACCCCCTCCACTTCGCTCCCACCCCCTCCCCAGGCCTTCACCCCGTTATTGACTGTGTCCATGGGTTATGCATATATGCATATAACCTCTTTGGTTAATCTCTTCCCACCCTCCACCCTCCTTCCCTCTTCCCTCTGAAATGTGATCATCTGTTTCGTGTGTCAATGTCTCTGGATCTATTTAGTTCATCAGATTCTTTTGTTCATTAGCTTCTTCTTAAAGAAGACCCTTCACCTTTTCCTGTAGTGCTGGTCTGGTGGTGATGAACTCCTTTAGCTTTTCCGTGTCTGAGAAGTTCTTTATCTGACCTTCAGTTCTAAATGATAGCTTTGCTGGGTAGAGCAATCTTGGTTGTAGTTCCATGTTTTTCATCACTTTGAATATTTCTTGCCACTCCCTTCTGGCCTGCAAGGTTTCTGTTGAGAAATCAGCTGACAGTCGAATGGGGGCTCCCCTGTAGGTAACTAACTGCTTTTCTCTTG